AATAGTATTATAAGAGCGGTTAAACCCAGAAACCCTTGAGTTCTGGATTTGTGATTTAATATAAATAAATCAATAAAATTTTGATTTGTGATTTAATTTTTTTTTAATAATTTTTTTTATTATAACAAAAACATGGTTTGTGATTTAAATTAAAATTAAAAATTATTATTAATAAGGAAAACAAAATAAAGATTTGATTTGTGATTTAAACTAAAAAATTAATTTGATGTTATCAAAAAAAAAAAAAATAATTTGAAAAATCTGTAGAAATAAAGAAAATAATTAAATAAATATTCTAAATCTCTAAAGAAGAATGATATTATTTTTGAAATTAATAATTAATGTTATAAGCTTCTTAGGTTATTATTCGTGGTCTGAAATTAATAATGACTTATGAATGTTTTTCAAAAATAAAATTACCTAAATTAGGCGTGATTGCCTCTTGATTGAAACTCAATTTAGATGTGATTGGTGACGTATCAGATTTTTTTTTTTTTTTTTTGATAACAACGTATCAGGTTTTGACACGTGTTGACACGTGTCTCATTTTTAAACTCAGAAGCCTCTGAGTTCTGCGTTTGTGATCTAATACAAAAAATAAATCATGATTTGATTTGTGATTTAAATTAAAAAATAATTTTTTTATTTTAATTAGAAAAAATTTGGTTTGTGATTTAAATTAAAAGTAACAATTATTATTAATAAGAAAAACAAAATAAAGATTTGATTTGTGATTTAAACTCAAAAATCAATTTGAAAAATCTGTATTGATAAACGAAATAATTAAATAAATATTCTAAATCTCTAAGGAAGAAGGATTATCTGATTTAAATTTAAATTATATTTGTGAGAAATAAAATATATCAAATGAGATGTCATTGTGTAGATCTCGAAAAGTTATGTGAATTCAAAAAAAGAATTACCTGATTTGGATACCCGAGTCAAAAGTTATGACATTCAAAAGTTTTATGATTAAATTAAAAAAAAATTGGAAAAAAATGACACGTGTCAACACTTCATAAGAGACACCCATTGGGGCGTCTTCCCTTAGGATGAGACGCCTTAATGGGGCGTCACATGTGACGCTCAAAAGAGGCGTCACAGTGTGCATTAGATTCGTAATTTTTCTCAAAACTGTAATAAATGCGTAATTATTTTATTAAAAAACATTAAATTAATTTTTTTGCCAGTAAATATCATTTTCGGTCCCTAACAAAAATTACGGTCTCTATTTTAGTCCCTTAAAAAAAAATTAGTCGTTTGGTCCCTATGAAATTCAAAGTCGATCCATTTTAGTCCTTTTGAGGGACTAATGTGGGTCTTTTTTGAATTTAAGAGGGACCACGATTTCAACTAAATGGGTCACTTTGAATTTGTTAGGAACCTAAAGACTAATTTAGATAATCATCAAATAATTCCTAATTAACTAATTTAATCATTTGGGTTATTATAATAAGTTTGATATTTATGGGAGATAAAATTATCTCATGTGAAAAACATTAAACTCATATTAATTTTATTAGAATTGATACAAAAACAAAACACAAATCACCAAGAATATAAAGAAATAGGAAAATTGATACTAAAAGATCCTTTAGAGTACTCTAAGTGCGCGTGACAACCATTGTATTCCCCAAAATTGATTCTGAGATTAAACATTTTTTTTTTCTAATTCTGTGCTTTAAAAGTGTTACGAGAATCAAAATTATCTTTGTTAACACAATTTTTTTATACTGATAATCAGAATTACATATGATAACATAATACAAATTTATTTCTTTACTTTTTGTTTACAAATTTCATCCATTGTATAAAATAACAAATTGCAATAGATTTTTTCTAATTGCTGTTCAAAAACGTTACGTTCTGTCTTTTAGAAAGATTTGGAAAGCCATTATCTTCAAAGTTCATATGTTCCGATCTTCGTCGTTTTGCTCCATTGGAAAGTTTAGTCTCTACTGCTTTGCGTTTTCAATGACCTTCCAAACTAATAACATAGACATTTGTCTGTGATATTTGGCCCTCCCAAATGTAGACTAACCCTAGCCATCTCCATTTTTTATTAAAGCATTGAACAATAAAGAATTTAATTTTATAATTCACTATTTGGACATTTGTTTCCTTTAAGCTTCAATTTGAGGGAGAGAATCAGGGATAAATGCAGCCTGCTCCATCTGCCTTTTGTTCTATATACTTTGGTTGAGTCTTATAAATTTTCTTATGGTTCAAAGCTTCCAAATATTGTATGGATTTATTGTTTCTGTTTATCATATATAAAAGCATAAAAGTGATTCTTTTTTTTACCCTGAAATTGAGAAGCAATTTTTTTTTTCTTCAAACAAAAATTAAACTAGTTCATCATGGAAACAAAAAACTAAACCAATTAAACACTATCTTATCCATTTTTATTCTCGAGAATAAAAATTAAAAAAAAATTGATTCTCACATGGTTGTTATCATACCCTAAATTATTTTAAGATAGAGTTTTAACATTATATTATATCTTCTAGAGATTTTTAATATATATATATATATATATATATATATCAAAAAAATATTTCTGCAGTTACTGCAGATAAATTATCTGCATTTATTTCCAAAACGACGTCGTTTTGGGATTAAAATATTAAAAAGTTAAAATTATAAAGACTATAATAACCCTAAAATAAATTAAAATTACAAAAACAGAATGATTTCCGCACAAAACGACATCGTATTGGGCTTACTGCAGATAACTTATCTGCAGTAACTGCAGAAAAAGTGAACCCTATATATATAGTAAATATCATTTTTGGTCCTTAACAAAAAGCACGGTATCCACTTTAGTCCTTTACAAAAAAAAATTAGTCTCGAGGTCCCTAACAAATTCAAAGTGGACCCATTTAGTTGAAATCGTGGTCACTCATAAATTCAAAAAAAACCCACATTAGTCCCTCGAAAGGACTAAAATGGGTCCACTTTAAATTTCCTAAGGACTAACCGACTAACCTTTTTTTGTAAGGGATTAAAGTGAGGATCATATTTTTTGTTAGAGACCGAAAATAGTATTTACTCTATATTTTCTTGGGTAAAAGAGTTTTTTCTCCCTTTTAAATCATATATAAAAGAGTTGTTTTTTGACACTATGGGCATTTGGTAGAGGAAAAATATTTTTTTGTCCGGAAATTATGATTACCAAGAATATGCTGGGAAAATAAATTTCTTGAAAATGTGACAAAAAACTGTTTGGTAGGTAAAATATTACTGAAAATATTGGTTGAAGTTTACTGATTTTATTTTTGGTTGATTCTTAAATATTACTAGGAATGTCAAAATTTCCTAACACCCCAGGATTCCAAGAATACCACCCTTGGATGTCATTTTACTATACAATTGTTTACAAATCAAAATCCCGAGAAATTTTTTAAAAACTTTTTACCAAATATAAGTAGGAAAGGGTTACGTTTATAACTTTTTTTTGTTTACAATTCTTACAACCTCAACTATGTTCTCCCGGGAGTACACTTTCCAGTAGTGTACTCCCGGGAGAACATAGTTGAGGTTGTAAACAAAAAAATTGTAAACGTAACCTGCCCCATATAAGTAAATAGGATTTCAAATATCAGTTTCCTGGAAATTCAAAAAAAAAAAAATCCATGTACCAAACTTGATAGAAAAGAAAAAAATTTTACCTGAGAATCACGATTTCTAAGAATATGGTAAGAAATTAATTTTTTTGAAAATGTTACAAAAAAGTTGTTCGGTAGGCCAAAATATTCCAGAGAATGTTGAATCGATTTTCCTGATATTATGTTTAGTTGATTGAAAATATTACTTGAAATGTGTTAAATTTTTCATTTTTTTTTGGAATCCAAGAATACCATCCTATGGATGATATTATTGATTAAATTTTGCCCACAAAATAAAATTATGGAAAAATCATATTCCCAAAAATTTTATCAGAAATCCTCAACCAAATTTAGGTAACTTAGATTACCACCCTCAATCTTCTATAAAATGTAAACGAAAACCTTCTGCCAAATGTTATGTGCATCCTCATATTTGCAGTATTAGGATAGATCCAAATACGGTACAAATATTCTCTGGACCTTTCAAATGTTCAAAAAAGTTCGACAGATCGAGCAATAACTTTTTTTTTTTCAATTATATTTTAAGTTTAATGTAATTTTATCTTTAATTTAGATATATATTATTAATGAGAAAAATATTTATCCTTTTAAAAACACAAAATTATGTAATTTTAAATGAAAAAAACTCAAATTAATATTTTTATTTAAAATTTAAATTAAAAACTCATTTTTTCACCCATAATTTCTATTAATTGTGTATTTCTCTCACTTAAAATGAATGAATTTTATATTATTAAAAAGGACAAACATCAAGGCCAGTATTAATTTTACAATTAGTTTTAAATTACCCAAAATATAGATTTGAATTTTCATATATTTTAGTAAATTAATTTAGATTTATGAGTTTGATGTTTGTCATTTTAAATGATATAAATTATGTTATTTTAAGAAAGACATAGACATAAGAAATGAAAATAGAGAAAGTGAGTGAATTTTTTTAATTTAAATTTTAAATAAAAAAAATTATTTTGTGTGTTCCTAGATATTTATATATAGGGGAAGGTTATAATTACAACTTTTTATTTTTACAACTATATATCATAACCGTTGATTTTCGCCAATCAACAGTTATCATTTATTATGAATTAATAATTAATTAATAAATTTAATTTGCGGAAATCATAACCGTTGATTGGCGGAAATCAACGGTTATGATATATAATTGTAAGAGGTTGTAAAAAAAAAATGTTGTAAGTATAACTACCCCTTATATATAATGTATTTTGATAGAAACGTAAACAATATAAAAAATTATAACCAAAAAGGCAAAAACCCAATCAAATCTGAATTTAATCAGTCAAGAATTATCTTAGGACCGACGCAATTTAATCCTGTGGAGAGTGAGGAGTGTGCATATAAAAAGTTAAAAAAACGAAGAATTAGAAAGAAGGCATTGAGGGGGCTGTGGAAAACAAACCCTAACTATGGCGGAGCATTTGGCATCGATATTCGGAACAGAGAAGGATAGGGTTAACTGCCCCTTCTACTTCAAGATCGGAGCTTGCAGACATGGCGACCGTTGTTCCAGACTTCACACTAAGCCCACTATTAGCCCCACTCTTGTTCTCTCCAACATGTACCAGAGACCTGACATGAACATGAACATCATTCCTCAACCTAATCAAAATCCACCTCAACCTCAATCTCAATCCCTCGACCCCGACAAGGTCCAGGATCACTTCGACGTAAGCACGGCTTTTTTCCTCTTCTCTCTCTCTCTCTCTCTCTCTCTCTCTCTCTCTCTCTCGTTACATTACCTCTTTCTCTTACTTTGATTTCATGCCAATGTAGGATTTCTACGAAGATCTATTCGAGGAGCTCAGCAAGTATGGCGAGATCCAAAGCTTGAATATTTGTGACAATTTGGCCGATCACATGGTTTATTTCCCTAATCCTTCTCTTTCTCTCTAAACCCTAATTTATTTATGTGGAGTTCAATCGTTTAATTGTAGCGTTCTTTCGTTGTTTTTGCTCAGGTTGGCAATGTGTATGTTCAGTTTAAAGAGGAAGACCATGCTGCCAATGCCCTAATGAATCTCACTGGAAGATTTTATTCGGGTTCTTCATTTGCCCTTTCCTCATTTTTATTTTTTGCTTTTTAACCATTTTTTTGATCTTGAGTGCATCGCGTGGTTTTCTTTATCGTGCTTTTTGTGTCATTTGAGTGTTTGCAACTGCAAACTAATTACCGGGATGTTGTTTTGTATAACAATGATAAGTCATTTTTCTGTATGGTTGCTTTTTTTAAATCTTTGCTTAAGTAAAGTTAATATAAGGTCAATAGATTGGTAATAGCCAACTGGTTTGGAATTAACTCCTTATGTTACCTTTCTGTGGGCACTATTCTTAGCCTTTGTTGAGCTTTATCTGATGAAATGCATTTGGACCAGGTACCTGTGCTCTGTCACATGGTAGCTCTTCTTTCCATTCTTCTACTGTCTAATTTTAATTGTATTTTAGAGTAGTTTAGAGTATCTTATATGATTCCTTTGGAATACTTTTTTTTATGTCTTGGTTTATTTCCTTGTTTAATTAGGATTTGAAGTCTAATGTTAGTATAATTAGGGATTAGTGTCTTGGTATCACATCAATTCAATACCAATTTCATATTCAGGTTTTATTCTCTCTTTTCTTCCTTCCCTACCTAAATTCCTATAATTTCAACAGATCTAGTTAGGGATAAGATTGGGATCCTATGGACCTTGATATTTAGGTGCGTGTGGCAATAATTTTTTAAAATTACAATTACTAGTTTACTATTGAATTGGGTTTTGGTTGACATGAGATGAGTCCATTGTATAATTCATACTCACGATTACACAAGGCTGTGATGATGATTGCAGGCCAGACATAAATATATGTAGGAAAATTAATTCTTCATGTAACACCTTTCTTATGAAACTCCAAATACTGTTGTATCATTGCTTGACACTCTCACTCAACCGGTCAACCCCCATCCCCAAACTGTAATTATTGTTATTATGATGAAACTTCTAACTTATTGATCCCTCTAGGTCGACCCATCATTGCTGACTTCTCTCCTGTTACGGATTTTCGAGAAGCTACTTGTAGGCAGTATGAGGAAAATGTATGCAATCGAGGTGGCTACTGCAACTTTATGCATCTAAAGAAGATTAGCAGGTTGACTTCTCAGCATAGCTATTCTCATTCTTTTCAAAGATTTTGCACTTGCATTTATACATTGGCTGTTCTTGGCTTAAATCTAAACCCTGCTCTTCTAATTTCAGGGATTTGAGAAAGCGGTTATTTGGAAGAAATAGGCGATGGAATGGCCGCAGTGGAAGCAGAAGCCGGAGCCCTCCGAGGAATCGTAACTATGAGGAGCGCTCACATGCTGGTCGTAATCCTGGTAGAAGAGATTTTGACAGGCCTCATGGCGGCCATCATGGTGGTAGGAGGCCTAGAAGCCGGAGTCCTCCTCGGTATAGAGGGAGACGAAGTAGAAGTCCAATGGGCAGGGATAGGAGTCCAATCAGAGAAAGTAGCGCAGAAAGGAGAGCTAAAATAGAGCAATGGAACAGGGAGAAGGAAGTAGAAGATTCTGGTAACAAGACCAATACGAATAGCAATGATTATGAAGATCAGAGTGTTGCACAAAATGGTAGTGAATAACCATCAGATATAGCAGCATCATAGTGATTTGGTCTTAAATGAAAAGAAACCCTGTAATAATAATGTGTGGTCAAGTAATCTGTTTTGTCTGGTTTGCATCTATTGAGTTGGTTTTAGTTGTTACTGTTATCATTTGTCTTATTCTGAATTGTTAATTTAGTTATAGAACTCTGTAATATCCATATCAATAACAGTTTAATTTTCCGCTTTAAGTGTGATGTTCCTGCACCTTGAAGGGAGAAAAAAAAATGGAAGAAAACGGAAAGATTTGACTTGTTGCGGATGATATAGTGTTAATTTGATGAAGTTCAGTTATGGAAGTTTCATAACCCAAATGGATGATATAATGGTGGAGGATATTTGGATGGAAAAGGAGAATTAATGTTTTTCTTGACATTAGGTTATGTGAGATTATCTCTAGATAAATTAGGGTTATTTTTTTTTTACTGTTTATTTTACATTTCATAACTGTTTGACATGTATATGGATGGGTGAGATCATTTTATATTTATTTTACATGAGAGGATCCAGGATATGATGTATGAATTTAAACTGCAAATATCTAAAGATGAAAAATAATATTACAAAAAAAAAAAAAAAAAAAGATGAAAAATAAATACATGGACAATTTTCTTTCTTTACCAGACATAAGTTTATACATAGGCGAAATGCCTCTTCAGATACACGATCCAGAATTTAGTTTCATTCCAGTTCAGTGCTTGCCAAATCTCGAGTCCTCATTTGCACCGTGTCCTTGTGACGATACGTACTGTGTGTAATAGATGGCCGTAGCAATCCAGCTGCATTATTCGGCTTGTCATATTTTTTTCAACTAAACACGGGTTCCAAGCACTTCATGTCTTGATGGAATAAAATGAAAAAGGATGGGGTTTCACTTCTGTTTGGGAGGGTGTATTTTTTTTATTTTTTAAATGATGGGAGGCAAATGAGGAGTAATCATGCCTTCAAACTCTCTCGTTAATTTTTATGAACGAGTTTAAAGTTTTTTCAGTTTGGAGGACTCTAGAATTCTTGAACATACAAATCTTTAGATTCCTTGCATTTTCCTCCCAGCTCCCAAACTTGCCTTGAGAAAATGCAACCCCTAAGATAGGGGTCAGAAAGGGACAACCTTATGCACACACCTTATAAAGGCCCCAAGTATAATTAATCATTGTTGGGTCAAAATTTAAAAATTTGTTTTGTTTATGGTATGTTACTTTTATTATTTTAAGAATTTAGGGGATGAGATTAAAATTTAAAAATAAAAAATAAAAATGATTTAGACCATGATTAAGTGTGCAATGGCCTACTATGTAAGTTTGCATCCATCTTTCCCCAGCCATCCGATGTAAAATCATCGGATACTAATGGAGTGCACAAATGTTAGGCTGAACCTGCCACATTGGATAATAATATACCCAAACACACCCTCGATTCCCATTAGCTACCTTACTTGAGTATAAAAGAGAGGAAAATATTATATTCCAAAAAAAAAACAAAAAAAAACGAAGAAAGATAAATGTTTCTTAGGTACGGAATTTTTTTAAGTGATCCGGCACCACCAATTGTTCGACTAATATATATTGTCATACGTATAAACATGACATTAATTGTTCGACTTAGCTCTTGAGTGGCTGAATAATACCCGGACAAACTCCCTAATCAAATGTGACGTGATATGATAAATAGAATTTCAATTATTGTATGTGCTTGAACCGAATGTGGGTGTGATTGATTATGTATTGTGATGGACTGGTGGTAATTACTTATGTGTGTTGTGTGGCAAAAAGGAAAGATCCCTAAAAGATAAAAAGAGGAAGGGGATCTAAGTGTCGCTGCCTTTGAGGTAGTAGAGTTACTAGTTGTAGAGAATGTTCTAAGGTGAGATAGCTCACTTCAACTAGTTTTTCTGGCACACAAGGTTGATATACATTGTGTGAAAGGATTCCGATGTGAAATCGTGGATGTGGTACTAGCACTTTTGGCATTGATTATTTTGTTTGCTAACCTTGTACGGGAAGACAAACCCAATTCCGGGGATGGAACCATGATAGTACCACCCAAGAGTAGGAATAGGTCTAGTATTCTCCCTGTTTACTGAGATTCAACGGGTACAGTTTGCAGGAACAAACGAAGAAGGTGCAGCTCCAGATGAAAATAGCTTAGCATTGAAGGAGGAGCGATTTTGAAAAAAGCATTATTAATAAATTACATGTTTTTATGTTAGTGTTTTAGCGGGACTGGTTGGGTGAGTGTAATGTATTATGTATTGGGATATTTAAATCTCATGAGTTTCGTATTGATCGGTAATAAACTAAGTGAAATCCGTATAAATAGGAGAACTCACAAATCAAATGTCTTAAAATTTGGGGTTGAGATATGGTGTGACACTGGTATCATAGAATCAATTATCAGGTTAGCTCAAGTCCAACCGGTTTTAATACGTAGAAAGTAGAAAAAAATACAACTTTTTTTTTTTTTTGAGTAAACTCATGACTGGGACCAATCCCTTCGTGGCTTGGAGCAAGAAGGTTTTTACCACTGACCCTAAAGTACTTCTCGTAGAAATCGAACTCATAACTTCATTAGCCACCAGAGCTTTTGAGCTGCAATCCGCTTACCAATTGAGCTATATGTTGGAGTGAATAAAAATACAACTTTAATATTATAACTATGTACTCCCGAAAGTAACTAAAAGGACAAAAAGTTTATTGCGGTAAACTTTGAGGTGTTACACCACGATTAGTTAGAAGTGACCGGTTCTTATACATACATGCCTTTTATATATATATATATATATATATATATATATATATATATATATATAGGGTTTTATTAATCTCCTTTTACATAAGATAGGTATCTTATGTTGTAGAGAGAAACTAGGTGGGTCCCACCACAAGAAAAAAAAAAGTGAGGTACGAAAATCGAAGTGAAAAAAAATGAGATAAGCTACCTCATGTAAAAGGAGATTAATATTTTTCCATATATATATATATATATATATATAGGTTTCGGAAGGATATGGATGTCGTAATTGATCAAAGGTAGGATGTTTCACTTGTTATTGTAGAATATAGCTATGCGTTGGTTTTGAATATTTGACAAATGATACCCTTTGAGTTGAATAATCGCTACAGCCTAAACATGTACATAAGAATGAAGCAGAAAGGCAATGTTCCATATGTCAAGGAAATTCATAATTGAATCCACGTATCTTAGATAGACCCAACGTTTGGCCAAATTGTCATTGTCTAACCGTATTTTAGGACCCCAAATTATGTGAAGGTTGGAGAATTAATCATAGGTAGCCTAAACGTGGAGAAGTTGGGTCAGTCCCGCAGTCCTAAAAACTTGGGACAGAATTCACTGTTACCCTTTAATAAGCAGACTGGACAGCCATCTCCTAAATTCAATAACTCGAGCTAAATTCAGCCAAAAATTATAAAATAGGAGTCATTTTGAAACTTGAGATGTCTAGTTTAATTATGTAAAATTTTGGGATTTTTGAGTTAACGGATTGCTCCCAATTTTAAGAAAAATCAATGCTGCCTGAAATCTCATTTCTTTCCTCCTCGTGTTTAATGGTTTGCCTAGTAAAAATCATAATTCTCTCAATTCTTAACCAAACTTATTAAATAAGATATCAATTTAAACCTAGATGTGTCTATTTTCATGTCCTCAAATATCAGGATTTATGGATATTAGATACATTCTCAGTTTTAGATTGTTTTAAGTACTGCCGATATTCTGCTTTTCTTGTTTGTCGTCAAAATTTCATAATTGTTGGATTGATTATTTGAGCTGCTGGTTGAATGATGATTTATTTTAAACATGCATATTTTATCCTACTTTAATGTTAGTTGTAGCTTGAGGCTCAAGCGAGTTTTCTTGGATAGTATTAGCTAATTTAGAGGAAAATATGATGCTAAAGCTTCATGATGTAGTGTGAGTTTCTGTCTAAATTGTATGTCACTATTACGATATGATAATGATTCATGAATAATGAACTGGGTCGACTCGGGGCGTTATACACTTACATACTCTTGATAAGACCTCAAGTAGAAATTGACATCAACCGTCATAAATGACTACATTTGCTGACAGGTTAAGTTGTACTCAACTTTTACTTCCATTACTGGTTTGATTATCGTGTAACATTTAGGAGAAATGTAATGTGATTAGGAAGAACCTTTTTAAAGTTAAAAGATTCGGTTAGATTTGTCCCAAAAAAGGAAATAAAATCAGTGAGATGTCAAATTAACTAAATCAATTTCATTAACAGAAATGCTCAGACGGTTTGCGCGAAACTGTTACGAATGACATGGGGTGATTTGTACCAAACAGCTTAATATTATTTATTTTAATTATTGTTTGTTGGTTGAAATTTCAACGAATTTGTGAGCCACGTAGTGATTTAGTACGAAATGTGTGTTCAGTCAGGACCATTATAGGGTATCCAAATCTCGTGGTATTTAAACAAGATTTTAAATAAGGAATATTTTTTTTTTAAAATTAAAAAACTTGAAGATTTTTTGGGTTTTTTTTTTTTGTAAACTGGGGTTTTTTTATTAGTGTCATTTTGTGTGACATTTTAGTGGGAGGTATCGCATCCTAACCCCTTCAAATTTCTCTTTTGTTTTGTTTTCCATAGCATTTAGTGTTATCCTCTTCTCAAACTCAAGTGTTATCCTTTTCTCAAACTTAATATATGTTCTCTGTATGATTTTTTTGTTTATTTCCTTTCCACAAAGTATCTGTTTCCATTTAAAATACAAGCAGAACTTGTATTAGTATATGTAACACAACACAATTTTCTTTGTAAAAAATATCGTTGGATGAATTTTCAATTTAACCAATAGACGATATTGATCTTAAACATCACTGGTTAATCAAGAAGATAATTTTGAATCAATGGTTCCAATCCAAGAGAAAGAATTAAAAGATACTAATGCATAGAGGGATAACATAGTTTTGATATGCCGTAAACTGCTAATAAGAAGAATATGAAATTACATTAAATTACAATAAAATTGAGAAAATTGTATTAAGCTTTATTTTTTTATTATATCATTATGTTTTTTTCTTTTTTATTAACTCTTGTAACTTTGAATAGTTGTTGAAATTTATATGATTATTAGAAAATTTTAAATCCATCTTACCCTTTCAAATCTTATAAATTCTAATAATAAGTTCTTTAAAATTTAATTTTATAAAATCTTTTAAAAAATCTTTAAAATCTAAAAAAAAAATTAATCTCAAAATATTCTTTTAAAATTTCAATTTAATACACCGCTGAATGAAGCATCTGATTCGATTGAGTAGTATTAGACTAGTATGCCTCAAGTATTTAATGAAGGATATTAAAAAAAAAATTATGAGAAAGTGATAATAAATGAATAAAATTAAGAATAGATACTCCCTGAAACTAGCAAGCTAATGTGGCTACTATACTAGTTTAAAAGATTATATGCTAATTGCAATATTAGTTTTTCTTTCACCAGATCGTATTAAGTTTTTTTTTTAAATTTTTATAATAGGTCAGACCAGATCTATAAATCAAACCTTTAATAGACTAAATGTCATTATAAACTCTAAATATTTTATATAGACTTAGGCAATCAAAGTCTAGCCTAACATGGCCCATTTATACTCCTATCCACTTATATCCCAAAAAATAATAATAATAAAATTAAATATTTGTTTGGTAAAAAAATTGGGGTAGAATATTGTAATAACCAATTAGGTTGCTATCAATGTTACTATCAATCAATTTCATCGTTAGATCGATTATGTTGATCTAACAGTTATATTTACTTTTATCTTTGTATGGTTATGATTTTCCATATTTAATATTTTATATTTATTTTCACCTTTGTATAGTTTTTCATATTTAATATTTTATATTTATTTTCACCTTTGTATGGTTATGATCCATAGTATGGTTATGATCCATAACCATACAAAGGCAGAAATAAATATAACAATTAGATCAACATAATTAATCTAACGGTAAAATTAATTGGTAATAACCCTAATTGATTGTTACAATATCCTTCCTAAAAACATTATAATATTAATTAATAAACAAAAAGCATTTATCTGAATTTTAAAATTACAGAAATTGCAAAACGAATTTTTTTGATTTTTTAAATGATGACTTTGAACAAAAAGTATAAATTTTTGTAACTTGTTATTAAAAAGACAAACGTTTTCCTATTTTACAAAGAAAATAATTATAAAATTTGTTTAATTAAAAAAAATTAAGAAACAAATAACTTTTTTCTTGGAAATTAATTTTTATAAAAGCATGTTACATATATCGCTTTAAAATCTCATGTGCTAGACATATCATTAAATACAATTATTTGTTCATTTTTTTATATAAAATAAAGGAAAAGTGTTTCTCATTTTAAATGACAGAAAGTTATATTATTTTAAGAGAGATACAGACACAGAAAATTTGAATTTTAAATTAAAAAAAACTATCCACTTTCTCTCTCCCATGATTTTCGTTGTTCCGTGTCTATCTCTCTCCTAAAATAACATAACTTATGTCATTTAAAATGACAAATACTAAACCCATAAAATACATCGTTTTCTCATCTTGTTTTATACAAAAAAAATGTGAAATGTTTGGGCCCTTTCAATATCTTCGATTTCAAATAGAGTCAAACTATTTTTCATTAAATAAAACATTTTACTTAATTATTTAACATCATTAATATACCTCAAATAATGAATGAAAGATTTTTAAAATTTTGCATTCAATAAAACATTTTACTTAATTATTTAACATCATTAATATACCTCAAATAATACATAAAAGATTTTTTTTAAAAAAAAGTTAAGGAATATTGGCCATAAAAGAATGAAAATGACAAAAGACACTCCCTCTAATTGATTGTTAAAGGATTACTCTCAAAGACCTTAAAGGGACGTTTAGTTGAGGAGAAACTTTTATGAATAATAGAAAAATGTGATTACTAAGTAAATAGTTGGAATGTAAGTTTGGTAGAAAAAATGTGAAAAAAGATTTTTGGTTGGATAAAATGTTGATGGAAAAATTAAGTAACTTTTATAAAGTCTATATTTGGGTGTAGGTAAAATATAAATGGAAAAAAAAATTGTTTTTACCAAAATAACCCCGTTTTTAAAATATTTTGAATAACGCATTGTACCCCTTATCCGTAAATAGGTTGTCATTAACGCAACGTCCATATGTAAAAAAAGTGTGTTCCAACGTCCATATTTATTTATTTATTTATTTATTTTTCTTTTATTTTTCTTTTTTTTTATTTTTTTTATTTCAGCCACCGTCCCACCCCCAAAAACCACCATCTCCACCGCCGGAAGCCACCGCAGATGCCATAGCCACTGTCCACAACCTCCCTCACTGATTCAAGCCAGCCAAGACTACACCACAACCACCGTCCCATCTCCTTCTTCACAACCCACAATCACCACTGCGGCTGTCAACCGAGAAACCCCAACCTCTATCTTTGGACCACCATAGCCATCAGCCTTCACAAACTCCAGCCAACCTCCTCAGCCACCACCACACACCACCGGTGACCCAAAAACCCATCCTCATTTGAAGACCAAATCGGTCCAACCCTTACCCACAACCACCATCGGACCACCGAACCAACCATCTTCAAATCGAGGAACCCAATTCCATAACCACCGTCGGTCAAACCCATCACCATCCACACTTCACCAAATTTTTTGACAATACCCACAAGCTCACAACCGACCACCATCACCGAACTGCCCTCCATTAACAGCCACTACAAACCCACATCATCCTCCCTTCACCAATCCACATCCTCCCTTCACCAATCCACAACCATACAGCCACCACACCAAATCAGGGGGTACGCTGGTCATCTGATTAGTAAAAGCACTTACCATTTAGGTAGATATTTAACAATACCACATGTCAAGTGGGTTTATGTTGGCCGGCTATTTTGATCAAAATGACATGCAAACGCCGGTGGCTGGCTATATGATTTTGGTAGGCAAGCAAAGAAACCGTTAAACCAAACATGGTGATTAAACAATCCCACTTCTCATTTGCCTATCTATCTCATCAAAATCCTCCAACCAAACACACCCTAAAGCAAGAGTTCGGTTCAGAGCTGGTCGACTTAAGATCAAGGTATGCTCAGCAAACAACACAAATACCAGTAACGAGAGGAAAATATAGCCACAAACCCCATAAATTACAAGCAGAGTTCCGCTATTGAAAATCCAAGCTGAATAATTCTCTTAACAACAAATCACTAGACCAGATTTCCTACATCAACTAAATTGTTTTCTCACTGTCATCCAAAATCCAAAAACAACATGATGTTCACTGCTCACATAAAAGTTACCGAACCCTTCACTTAGCAGCAGTGTGCTTGGCCCGATTATGAGAATTTAAGGCATCTTCTGTCTTAAATGACCTGCAAGCCAATATAAATATATTTGTCGTGACTGATTATTTAGAAAGAAGAAAAATGAAAAAGGGAAATAAGGAGGTTAATAAATATAAAAAGACAACTCCAATCACCTGTTGCAAGGCTTGCAGCTGTAATCCCCAACTGACTTGGGAGTCTGCAGCTTCACCGGCTCTCTGTTATTTGCAGTTGCCTTACCAGCTTGCTTAGAAGGGTGAGGAGTTGCAACATGACCTCCATTCTTGCCATCTGAACAGATCATGAATATCATCAGTTACACACATGCATACACAGACAGGTAAATGAATCAAAGACTAATCCACCAGAAAGACAAAATTGTGACTACTTGCTTTAACCATGAGTCAAAAAAATATTGTAGATTTGACAACTATTTCAACCCCATTTTTAGCTCAAGTATGATAGAATTGCCCATGAATCACGAATCACATGGTAGAAAGGTACTAGGATCACCCCACCTCATATATCCATATCATTCACCACCCCTCACACGGTTGTCAATCCCAAATAGCAGCGCAGAACAACTGACCCCAAAAATATGGCAGGATGACCATTATACCAAAGATTATATAGATAAATCATTCCCATTAAACCCTGACTAGCAAAGGTAGAGGTGAAGACAATTCTTGTATGCAATCTTACTCATACAATTAACCAAAAAAAAATAAAAAAAAATTTATCAATCACAAAAGAACAATTTTTCTGTGATCGCCCTTTTGCCAAAGATTATGTATACAAGATAAATAATCTATAATACACACACATAAACATCCAAAAATAAAAAAATTACCCAAAATTAAAGATATATTCATCATTAATAATCAAAAGTCGTAGTGGAATTAAATTTATCAAAAAATGCACTTCTATTTAAAGATATATTCATCATTACTAATCAAAAGTCTAAGTGGTCCTTTATCTTATTGCTACCTTCAAAACAGAGATGTCTCTAGTTTCGAATAAAATGCCAAATTGTTTAAGTGTTATCTACCTCTTCTTCATTTGTACTCAGCCTCCCAATGCATTTATCAATTCCTTCCATCACTTTTGGATCAAAATCAGTTTTTGAATTACTATTGAAAAACTCAAGGTTCAGATAATGACATACTGCCTACAATGAATGATGAATTTCACATTCCCATCTCCTATCAATAATAACAAAAATGTTCTTATACATGTCTTCAAACCTATCCATTGCTTCATATTAGTAAATGTAATCCATTATAGGCTTTTGTTCATTATCAACAAACCTAAGAACATGCACAAGATTGACAAGAGGCCCCATAGCTTAAACAAAGTAAACAACTTCCAAAAGGTAGGCATGATACAGTATGGTTGCCTTTTTCTCATAGTCTTTAGTCGAGTTAGACTTTATAATGACCCTAAATGGTAAATCTTAATTAGAGATTTAATTTAAGGATTTAAATGTCATAATTAGATTCAGTGAGTGATTCCGAGTATTTTGACTGTAATCATGACTTTGTTATGAACAGTGCGTTCTGCCGGAGAATTTACAGTTTTGTGAATTAACCGGTAGAGCTTAAAAGAGAAAAATGATTTTAGAGACATAATTTGACAATTCTGACGACAAATATGAGTTCAGAACGAAAAATTGTATAGTTTGGCACTTTCCGTGAAAATCACATGAATAGTGTTTCTACCGAGTATTTTGTACTGCTGTTTAAGCAACCGGTAGAGTCCAGAAACGAATAATTGATGAAATAAGAATAAGAAAGTCCAATATATGCCAAGCAAGTCAATATAGGCCCAAGAAAATGACAAGTGTATAAGTCTTAAGTTTCAAAAATAAATAAAGTACAGTTAGTGGTTCACAGTGCATTTCGTCAAAAACAGTGCAGAAACGGTACTGTAAATTAAGAATATTTTTCCTTAAGAAATAAAAATTAAGGTAAATGAGTTTAGAAAAATAAAAATATATCCGTAGCTTTAAGTTAAGTTACGGGTCAATTAAGTAAAAATACGCGATAGAAAAACAACCGGGTAAAAGGGCCACATGTGCTTAAAAGCTTAAGTGACTCAAATGAGCACTATTCAAAATCAGCTCTCTCTCCTCTCTTTCTCAAAGAAACCGAGCAGCACTTGGTGAAAAGGGGGGGTAGGGTTTGGTTCTTCATTTCTTTGATTCTCACTCAAAAGTTCACCAAATCACAAGTCCCACTACTTGAAATCGATGGGAAACCACCCAATGAGTCCATCCCACCCATTCATTTGAGCTATCATTGGTTGTGTGAGGAGATATTTCCTTCCCCAAATTCGTGCACTATTCATCAAGAGGGCAAAATGAAATTTTTTATGGAGATTCTCTTGGTGTAGGTCTTCTAGGATTTGGGTAGTTGATTTAAGGTAACAAACCTCTATTTCCATGGTATTATTTTGATGATTTAAGTTATAAAAGTTATGAGTATGTTTTGGTAGGAAAGCATTGTGTATTAAACTTTGATTTAATGATGAATCTTTGATGTCTTGGATTTAAGAAATGAAAATAAGCATTTGTATGTATGTAAAAAAATTAGAAAAAAATCCTATGCTTTCCTCTACATGTTCGGCCATCATAGGTGAAGAGTAGGTTGTTGTGCAAAATTTTATCTTAAGTATTAGGAAGGTTTAATGTGTAGGAATTAAGTGGAAATTTGATAAATTAGTGAGAATGCCAAAGTGGGAAAAATTATATGAAATATGCCCTTAGGTTTAGGCCTTGTGGGGCTTTGGAGGGACTTTATGCTCCAAAAATTAAGTTGGAACCTTATGAAAACATGTATTTGTATGTGTAAGTTACATGTAAGTGAAGAACAAGAACCTTTGTCTATGTCCTTGTAGTGTTCGACCTAGAGGGTGGTATAGGGGATATTTTGTTACATTTTATTGTAAATAAAATGTGTTGTAATTCATTGTATAAAAGTGATGAGTTAAGAAGTGAAATGACTTGAAAAATGGTTGAAAAATACTTTGATTTCCTAAGGGTATGTCCGCGGCTTTTGAAGTAAAATGGCATGAATGATGTTGAAAATTCTCAAGTGAATACTTGATTAAAATTAAAGAATGATAACGAGTATAAGGTGGTCTAGACTTGTGTATTGGCATAACATTGGCAAAAGTATAAAGAAAGGAAGATAAGCGATAAAATGTATGCCTTATGGAAAGTCTAGGCATGATAGCATTTTATTGATTTGTATTTGTGGTTCTTGCTCTAGGTGTACCTAGGGACTAAAAAGGATCGGAATCTCTTGAAGACATATAAGTAACTTGTGCAACAAGTAAGCGTATTGGTAAAGCTTCAAGAGGTAAGCTCTATGTTTAAGGAGTCTTTTCCTGCTTGAGTGCTTCACCATGGTTAGTGAACTATGGTTGGACTGTATGACTGTGATTTAGATGCTTTGTATAGATGCATTCATATAGAGTTATTTGATAACATGATATGTTTTGCTCTTATATGACTTCTGTAATATGATTTCTGTAACAATCTCTGGCCATTGATTGTATAGTACCCTGATGTCCGCTTTGGGGTCCTCCCTCGGGACTAATGGTGTACATCTCTGATATGTCTGGTTCCGCTTTGGGGTCCTCCCTCGGGAACACGTGCGTTGATTTCCGCTTGGGGTCCTCCCTGGGAATGACAGCGCACATCTCTGATATGATATGGATATATGCTCTGTTCTGTTATGATATCTGTTATATGTTGTATTTGTATACTCTGTATCTGACTTTCATGCAGGAGTGAGCCAGGGGTATGGAGAATTCTCTATAAACCTCGAGCTTATTGAGATTTGTAATCTCACCCCTCGTTGGGAACATATTTTCAGGTGCCCAGATTCCCGGTGAGTCCTCCTAGGCAGGGACGCGACACGTGGCTGAGGCAGTTGACGGATCGGATTTTGAGTGGCTGTAGGCTACTACTTTTTGGAAGTATATTCATGTCATTTTATATTTCCGCCTTTGATGGATCATGACATTGATCCTTTATTTTAAATAGGCCTGTATATGTTTTGTACATGTCTGTCAGTTTGATGCATGTACATTTGAGTATTCAGGCACGTTATATGATGATGTAGTATTCCGATATGTTTACGTGTTGGATTGCATGCTGTTAGATATAGTGGCACTGAGCCAAGTTACGCATGCGCCCTTGAATGGGCATTTGATTATATTTGTATAAACTGTTTATCAGGAAATGTTTCTGAGTGGGATTGGAAAATCCCCAGTTGTCCGATTTATATAGGAAACTCTGTCCGATTTTTCGCTTACGACGAATGAGAATTTAAAAAGAAAAAGTTAGCTCGTATTTTCATAAGTTAAGTCTTCCGCTGTTTTCTGTTTTATCATATGTATGTTAATTGAACCGGCTCGAGACGGGGATGTTACAGACTTCAACAACTCATTTAAGTGAACATCTTTAAAAGTTTTTTTTATTTTATTTTGGTTTATGCAACCTTTGCAATGTGAGGGACATTGTAGCAAACCTTGTGATTCCATACATAATCTTGTTTGTGAACTTCCTTATCATGTTCAAGGCCAATGAATGGTTGTAAATGATGCCTAGAAGAGTGACACCTATTTGTATTATGCTTTAAACTCGTAAAGAATCTTTCCAACATACTCAATTAAGTCCGCACTCCATGTGGCACATGGAGTCTAAAAAGGATTCATTTTCTAGGCTTATGATAATTTAATAAAGACCAAATAAAATGAACTTAAATGAGAGGCCATTGTCAAAGCAATCAATAGGCATTTTAACAATTAAGAATTAAAATTGTGAAACTACATTAATTTTCATTCGTACTAGCCAATACATTGTTACTACCATTATCGGTCATCCCTTGCAGAAACATAGTCCTAGATGGACAATTCACCAAAAAAAAAATAATCAAAGTCCTATTCTTCTTATAGGTCCTTACATCCAACCTAATTGAACATCCAAAATATTTCCTTTGTTTGCTCCGATTCCTTTTTAAGGAGTGAAACTCTCAGAACTTGAAGCTTTTAGAATGCACAACACTAAAGATATTATGTTCCTATAAAAACATTGTGCTATGGGCTGAACATTTCTAGCCCTTGTTTCTTTATCATAAGCATCATTTATGTTTGTTTGGCTCCTGGCCTTTCCTAATTTAATAGTTTTAGATTTCTAAGAAAAACAACTCCTCGGGACCTTTACCACTTCCGGCTTTCTTGGCATAAGCAGAGGTTTATGACTTTGGAACTCTTTTTTAACTTTGAATATTAAGAATTTCTTGCACCTCTTCTTCCTGCTACTGAACAGAGTATGCATCCTTCCAGACTTTTCTGCCAGGCTTCCTTAACTAACTACATAATTTCATGTGGAATTCTCTAACAAGAATTTACAGCTCCCCTCACTCCCATTTTGTCTTTTTGCTCTAGAAATCTGACAAGTAGCAACTTTCCCACAGAAATCACATGTCACACCCTTCCTATTATTGATGTCTCCCAAACTATTCCATGGCCATGCCATATCAATATATTCACCAGTAAATTTTACTGGTGCACAATAAGAGGTTGAGGTTGAGGCTGAGTTGCTTTATCGAGTTCATTGTGGCTTAGAAAATGATGCCAGCATGGTTGTGAAGAGCAATGAGAATGGAGGAATAAAGTTTGTTTAAAAAAGGAACATGATGGCTGATGCCACGAAACTAACAGAAAGCAAAGCAATGAAAACAGAGGAATGAATTAGTAAGGTAAAAAATAGTGGGCTATGAAGTACACAAATGAGTGGATGAATAAAATGGAGAGGCCAAAGAGAGAACAGAGGGGAGTTATTTTAAAGAGCACAAATGAGTGGGTGAATAAAATGGTGAGGTCAAAGAGATCGGTTGGACAGTTTCTAAAGCTCAAACTGGAGGGGAAGGGAAATGATTTTAGTTGAAGAAGGTTTCCAACCCTAAAACATTTCTGACTATAAAAGTCATTTAAAATCACGCAAATCTCCTCAAAGTGGGTTTTTTACCCTTGATCAAAGTAGCATCTGTGAATGCGCTATTTGGCATGGTAGAAGGCCATGATAGCCGCTCCAAGAAAATGCAATGAGTAGACCATTGCTAGGAGGTCAAGCAAGGCGCCATGATGACAGGATAGTGGTGTGAAACGCTGGTATGAACTACCCTGAACTTCATGCATCCAAATTACATTATTCACATCTTAATTGCATCCAGTTTAATGTAGTCAAAATGAGCATATGTATCCAATTAGTGTACCCAAAAATGAGCATAAAACATGCAAGGCTCTGGGGGCGAAAAGAAAAATAGACAATTTACATAGACAAATCTCACATAAGAAATAGAGTACGAAAAGACTAACCAGTCTTCTGAGGAGTAACAAATTTTGCCTTCTTCACAGGAACAGGTGTTTTCTTGGAAGAGTCAAGAACCCTCTTATTGCTCACTTCAGCCTATAAAAAAATTAAAGTTAAAATCAAAATCAAGCACAAAAATAAGCAAACACATAGTCCCTCTTTACCTTCTTCGGAGTCTCCTCATCATCGGATTCTTCGTCATTGTCACTATCATCTTCATCTTCACTACTTTCTTGCTCACCATTCGCCATGGGCTAAAATAATATATTATGAATAATAATAATAATAATAATAAAAAAAAAAATGAGTAATAAAGTCGCCTTAATCCAAAATTCACTAATCAGAATTGATAAAAAGCTCACAACAGATTAAATAATATCATGAAGAAATGCAATGCCCCTGCTATGATCATTCAATTAACAAACATGCAGAATAGGCAAGCATATTTCAAAATAAAATTTGGACCACACAGTTGATGACTATTATCATGACTGGCAACCAGAACAATGAGAAAGGGAATCTGAGGACAAGTAGGGCAACAGATAACAAAACTGAATTATAATAATCATAAACAAATCCTATACTCACAAACTGATATCTAATAGCATAAAAAATCATTCAAAATGCACACTTAGGAATCAAAAACAAATGAGTAAAAATATGTGTGAAAACAAATTCTCTTATAAGTGGGAATGTGCACATGAAAACACTACATTGATGCATATAAAGGTTTATCCCCATAGGAATGCTTTAGTGCCAAACAATCATGTTTCTCTCATATATCTAGCAGTGGCACAGCCATGCATGTTTGGCACAAACATCTACACTAAGTATTCTGCCTTTTTCTGGCTAATCACCAGTACTCTGAATTCCATTTTTCAAAGCAATTCATTTTATTCAATAACAGCAGCCTAAAAATTAGATGACATCAAACAAATCTTGCATCAGCATCCATTCACTTTATAAGAGTTAAGACAACAATCCATTAGATATTACAAGGCACTTTATACATTATATGAATACCTCATCTTCACTAGAATCCTCATCAGACTCAGATCTGGACGAATCTTCTTCTTCATCATCATCATTTGCATCCTTTTCATTGGCCTTCTCATTCTTTCTGGGATCCGCTATCTTCTCCTTTTGTTTAGCTTCATTTGCATCAGGTTTGACACCATTCTTCAGCTCAAACTCAGGTCTCCCTATGAGAATGTTTAGAATATATATTAGAAAAACCACTTTATGACAATAGAAATACACGAGACGGACATCTTTACCATTGGCAGCACTAAGTGGAAAATCCTCACCATCGAAATCTGAAAGAAAGGTGATAGAATAAGTTGAGATGCAAATAAATTGTAAATTAATAATAAAAGCAAATCAAGAAGGGTATCTCACCATCAGAATCTTCATCATTATCAGTGATAATAAAAGAAGAATGAAGTTAAGGACATCTATATACGTGAGAATACAATAGAATGCATTATTGACTGTTAAGAGAAAATGTGATCACATATCAAAGTAAAATAGTATTAAAAAGGATATGATTCCAACTGAGATTCGGCTTTATATCCAGTAAAGAAGACACTCCCATTTTTCCAGTTGTGGGATAGCTCAAATTCCTTCTCAAATATCAAATCATAAGATATCTGAGGAAATTGATGAGAAGAAAGTGTGCCAATTGCAAGCTTCTGGTTATCAAACTTCACATACAGGGACACTGGTTCACGCACATTGACCTCACCCAGACATGCCTGTCACATGATGATTTAATCATTTAAACAAAAACCATTATCAATTCCTAGTAAGCAGAATGACTGAAGTTTATTTGTCATCATCTAAAGACATACCATTGAAAGGTGGACAATCTTGTCGTCTCCTGGATCAACCTTGAGAGATTCTCCACTTTTTACTTCAACACCTGAAAAGGATTGTGAATAGACATCGATGTTAATTTAATAATGCATGTTAGATTATCAACTTTATTGTCTCCAAGAATGTAACATCAAATACATTTTTTCCTCCAAATTTGGTATTATATGCTATGTTTCTGTCACACAAAGATTCTTAGTTACCTTCACTTCTCATCGCCAACCCAAGGTGTCTTTCAACATAATGCAAAAATCCAAATAGGGAAACAAATCAAATCATGTTTGCAACTGTAATAGTTTAATAATGCACAACACAAGACCCACTTAAAAATCCCATTATTAAATTTTAATATAAAATAATACACTATATTTTCTTTACAATAGAAACTTAGAGTCAAATATTTCAAGGGAAGACATCATCAAACAGAATTATCCTTTAAAATGCTTAAAAATTTGGTACTGTGATGAGTTCTTCGCAAACTCCATTACTGGACGAGTGACCTGTGAAATGAAAAGCTATTATATCAGTGAGGATGGAAAATGCAAGGGTATTCTTCCTACAAGGTGGCGGCCAATAACCAGCGTGGTTGATGGTGATGATAATTGTTGAGAGTTGAGTAACGGGAAACAAGTTATAGAGATTTTGCTCTCATTTCCGCAAATTTATCCAGCAACCAAAATTTACAAAACCGAGTGACATTAATCATACATAAGATAATACACATTTAAAAAAAAAAAATAATGTGCATGAAGAGACATGATTATGCAATATACATAGCGAAAGCACGAGTACAACACATTCCAATATAATTGAAGAAATGATTTCATCCCCGAAAATGAAAAAGAAGAACAATCACGAATGAGTACAAGATTAATGTAATTTTACAGTAAAAAAATAGAATGGAAATTCAAAATCAAAACTCCGAACATAAGAGGCAGAACAAGGCTAACGAGAAGAAGAATCACTGTGAGAAATGAGAAAGAGATGACGTTACCCCAAAACTCCATCGTTGCAGAGAGAGAGACAGAGCGAGACTTAGGAGAAGAAGAGAGGTTTCTAAAAAAAAAAAAAAAAAAAAATGAAAACTCAGTAATCTAGAGAAAGTTGAACAAATGCATTATTTATTTAGGGTTCCATTAGGTGAGGAAATATTTTACATTTTTTATAAATTGTTTTTGTGCATTCTTTCCATACATTTTTTTTTTTGTGTGTCTCTTGTATTTTTATTTTTTTTGGTGTCTCTCAATCAAATGAACAAGAAACATTCAGTTTTTCATTTAAAATAAAACTAGTTGATTACTCGTGCGATGCACGGAGAAAAAAATCGATTTGTTTGTCTCGTAAAAGTTAACGTAAAATTTAAATTAGATTGTTAGTTGGAATTTTATAGCGCACAATAATTCAAAAAATAATTTACCGGGTAGATAAAATATGTAAGAGAGTCATAAGTTAATTTTGATAGTAGTCTGGAAAAGACTTTAAGAATGTTACATTAATGACATAGAATATTGAAATAATAGTTTATTGGATATGTGTTGCACAAAGAAAAGAGCAATTCTGATAAACTGATTTCAATGTAATGTCAAATGATGTCTGTAATAGATTCAAATCGTGCATCATACGAAGAACAAAAAAATTGACATATTGTGCTTGACATCAAGGTAAATTAAAGATAGTCCAACCTACGCTTGCAATTCTGATAAATTCTGAATAAAAAAAAATTATATCTATCAGCATTTTATATAAGCATGTAATAAGTTTTTATATCTATCAACAACAAAAAATTCTTATAGTTGCATCTAAATTATTATCTATCTATCTATCTATGTTTTCTATATTTAGACAGTAAATATAAGAAGAAAAAAAAGTGTTGGCGGGCGGGGTGGGCCTGCCGTCCCGGCCGAACCCATTTTACCACCTTAACTATCAGCATTTAATAGATTTTTATATCTCTACAAAAAAAGATTCTTGCAGTTGCGTCTAGATTATGTTTTCTATAGTTAGACAGTATACATAACGAAAAAATATGTTGGCCGGGCTAACTCGCCTTTTTGGCGGGCAGGAAAGGTCGGCCCGAGCCCATTTTGCCACATATATATGTCAGCATTTTATACCAGCATGTAATAGATTTTTATATTTATCCACAAGAAAAAGTTTCTTATAGTTACTTCTAGATTACTATTTATCTATGTTTTATATAATTAGACAATAAACATAAGAATAAAAAACAAACTGTTGGTGCACTGGGTGGGCCGAGCCTAATTTGCCAACTCTAACTGTCATTAATATATATTTTTTCCAGTTTTATAATTAATTCTAATAGGTATAATAATTAAGCTCAATAGACATAATAATAACTATCATTAATATGTTTAATAATTTCTCATGCAGAAAGTAGTGAGCAATATTAAATGCTAAATCTTTTCTCACCTCTCAAGTTCAAAATTCAAATTTAAAAAGTTTAAATTTTAAGTATTAAATATTTTCCCTCCGAATAGACATAATAATAAATTAATAGGCTTAACAATTTTCTATGCAAAAAAATAAAGGGAAACATGCTCAGAAGTCTGTGCACATTCTCCAAGTAATAGCTTCTAGGTAAAATAATTCACGATATAGAAAATTGTATTAATTATACTCTTACATCAAAATAATGAAAGTTTGACTTCTTTCTAATATATTTTATTTTAAAATTTAAAATTCAACATGATAATAGAATTAATTATACATACTTTTAAAAAATAATTTTTTCCTCTTTTATTTTATATTATATACATATATATATATACATTAAAAATATTTATCCGAAGTATTTTTTTAAAAGTTTCTTGTACGAAATTTGTTTCCTTTTTGTATCATTATTTTAAGTTAAGATTTTAATTTACTTTATTTTAAAGTATATTTTTATAATTTTAAATAATTTTTTTCGTTTAATTCGTAATTTTTTATTAAAATTAACTTTTTTTATACATATCTTTTTTTCAGTTATATAATTAATTCTGATAGATATAATAATTAAGCCCAATAGACATAATAATAACTATCATTAATATGCTTAATAATTTCTCATGCAGAAAGTAGTGGGCAATATTAAATGCTGAATCTTTTTCCACCTCTCAAGTTCAAAATTTAAATTTGAAAAATTTAAATTTTAAGTATTAAATATTTTCCCTCCCAATAGACATAATAATAAATTAATAGGCTTAACAATTTTCTATACAAAAAATAAAGGGAAACATGCATAGAAGTCTATGCACATTCTCCAAGTAATAGCTTATAGTAATCATTCACGACATAGGAAATTGTGTTAATTATACTCTTACATCAAAAGAATGAATGTTTGATTTCTTTCTAATATATTTAATTTTAAAATTTAAAATTCAACATGATAATAGAATTAATTATACATATTTTAAAAAATAATTTTTTTCTCTTTTAATTTATATTATATACATACACACACACACACATATATATATATACATTTAAAATATTTATCTTAAGTATTTTTTAAAAAGTTTCTTGTACGAATTCTTTTTGCTTTTTGTATCATTATTTTAAGTTAAGATTTTAATTTACTTTATTTTAAAGTATATTTTTATAATTTTAAATATTTTTTACATTTAATTAATATTTTTTATTAAAATTAAATTTATTTTATATATATATTTTTTTAAAATAATTTTTTTCTCTTTTAATTTATATTATATATATATATATATATATATATATATATATATATATATATATATATATATACATTTAAAATATTTATCTTAAGTATTTTTTAAAAAGTTTCTTGTATGAATTTTTTTTCTTTTTTGTATCATTATTTTAAGTTAAGATTTTAATTTACTTTATTTTAAAGTATATTTTTATAATTTTAAATATTTTTTACATTTAATTAATATTTTTTATTAAAATTAAATTTATTTTATACATATCTTTTTTTCAATTTTATAATTAATTCTAATAGGTATAATAATTACTCCCAATAGACATAATAATAACTATCATTAATATGCTTAATAATTTCCCATGCAGAAAGTAGTGGGCAATATTAAATGCTGAATCTTTTCCCAACTCTCAAGTTTAAAATTCAAATTTAAAAAGTTTAAATTTTAGGTATTAAATATTTTCCCTCCGAGTAGACATAATAATAAATTAATAGGCTTAACAATTTTCTATGCAAAAAATAAAGAGAAACATGGATAGAAGTCTGTACATAATAAATATTGTGCAATAAGTAACAGTAACAGTTTTGCATTATTTTTATTTAATTTTTTTATTTTTAAATTTTGGATATTCTAGGAAGGGATAGGATATCGTGACACCCAAGTTATCTTACACCCATGTGACACCCAGTCAATCTCACCGTTAGATTGCTTATGTTGATCCAACGGTTATATTTATTTCCATCTTTGTATGGTCATGATTTTCCAATTTTAATATTTTATATTTATTTCTACCTTTGTATGGTTATGATTTCTCATACTTAATGCTTTCACTTTAAATTTGGGAAATCATTATTATACAAAGATGGAAATAAATATAATCGTTGGATCAACATAAGCGATCTAACGGTGAGATTGACTGGGTGTCACATGGGTGTAACATAACTTGGGTGTCACAATATCCTATCCCTTCTAGGAAAACGTAACAGTTTTACGTTATTTTTAAAATTAATTCAATCTACCCTTGTATATATCTACATTTTAATTCAAACCTAACTGCCAATAAAGAAAATATAAATTTATTACTGTGCAATAAGTATTATATATATATGTATAAATTTTGGTTGCTGTAGCCATATGCGCGCGTTTTCCCAATACACCCACTCGTATTTGATTATCCTTCTTGGAACTTCCAATGTAATAATGAAGTCTATATCTGATAATAACTTCCAAATCTTCCCAAGAACAAAAACATTAAAAACAAATTTATTACTTTATATTATTTTTGTAAAAAAAATTAATTAATCATAATAGGTATAATAATTAATTCTAATACACATAATAATAAATATTATTAATAATTTTAATAACTTTCGTTGCAAAAAATAGTAGAATAATACAGTTGTTTGCCAACTATATTATTGATAGATTTAACAATTTTCCAAATAAAAAATAATGGAAGAATATAGTTGTTTGCCTAACCAAAGAATGTTGAATTATTTTTCACACCTATCGAGTTACTTTAATTTTGAACATAGCCTCGGACACACTTTGAACATCCTTTAAAGAAATAGATGATGGTTTTATGAGGTCGAAGTAGTATCATTCATATCAAACTCATCATTTCCACCACCACGATAAACATATCTGTCAAGAACAAAAATAAATTAAAGAGCAACAACAACAGTGAGAAACAAATTATGTATGGTCAGAAAAAATAAAAGAAAAAACTCATCTTGCTCTTGTAGGTATTACAAATAGAAAAAATAAGGACTTTAAGATAAAAGAGAAATTTTTACCGTGTTGAATTCTGAGATGGAGCTCACAAAGCACACACAATGAAGGCTAAACATAAATATTTAATCATTTAAAGTAAGAACATTTTATTATATCATCTCGTTCATGATATTGTGTTATGGAAAAAGTACTTGTAGAAGAAAAAAAGTTAGAGAATTATACCCAAAAAAAAAATAGAGAAGAATGTCATACCTTCCTATGAGGAAGTAAAGAAATTCATATTCTAGTGATTCCAAATCATCCCGTCAGCTTTACTCTACAATAGTGCTACAAAAAATAAAAAATATTATATGTTCATCAAATAGAAGAACAACTTAAGAAGATGAAGAAAATAAATAAACAGAGAAGAGAAGAAACATATGCATAAAAGCTAATTACCAAATGAAAAGACACAGTAACACTGACACATATCATATTTATACACAAAATAATTTTGTTTTTTAATAATTACCTATGCATAAAGTAGTGAGATATTAATGATGAACTATTTTATCACCTTTAATTTTAAATTTTGAATTTGAATACTTCTCCACCTACCAATGCAAAAAGTAATGGGATATTATTACTTTTCCTCTTATCCATGCAAAAAATAGTGGATCATTAATACA